ACTATTTCTTTTTTTTAATCTTTATTTTCTATCTCTTTTTTTAATCTCTCTTTTTTTCATCTCTTTTTATATGCATAGTCTTACCACATAGTGGGAACTTAATAAACGCTTGTTGACTTGAATTGAATGACTTCTTGGCTCTATGTATTTAGCTTAATTCTGCCACTGCTGTCAATTTTTCTTCTTGTCAATTTTTAATTATATGGACCAAAGAGAAAAATAATCCTATGCTGCACTGATTTATTATGTCAATATTTTGAGATCATTTTTCTCAAAAATATATAATTTTTTAAAAATTATTTTTTATTTCAAGACTGAATAGTATTTTAGAGCCAAATATATTTTGCAGAAGAACATGTTTCAGTTTTATAGGAAATGAACAGGAAAAAGCAGTAGTTATATGGAAATTCAACTAACAGTTTACCCTTTAAGAGACAACCAATTCTCTTTGCCCCTAGTGAGTTACACTCTTTTAGAAGTTTCAGAATCAAATATGTTCTCGGTTTGAGAATCATAAAAGATCAAAATTATCAATTAAAATGAATGTTTTATGAAAGTAATTTGTGTATGGAAAAATACCTAAAATCAGCTTTGGAATAAACTTATCTGAGATATTTATTTAAATAAATTTTGAAAGCTTTATTTAAAGTTAATATCAATTTTTTTCCCTAAAGTTCCCTCTAAATATTCTCATGCATGTTTTCTGACTGAAAATGAAGTGGTTGGGCAGTCTAATATAAGTAAAAGTTGCAAAAAAAATCTTTAAAAATAGGTTATTTTTTTCATAGTTCAACTGAAAAGGACATGCTGTACCCAATATGAAGGCTCAAATCTGGCCAAATTTATTTTTGAAAAATAAAATATGAAATAAAGGAGAAATATGAAAAGGCAACAGAAATCTTAACATTTTTCAAAAATATCACCTATGGTTGGTATGAGAAAAAATGAGTGTTAATGCAAAATACTTTGCAAACTTGCAGTGTTATATAAATACCAGTTGTTTTGCTTATTATCTTCGTTGCACAGAAGCAAATGAGTATAGTAACAAAGTATTCAACAAATTTACTATTGGGTAAGGGTCTGACTATGCACATGTTTTGCTTTTCTTTTTCTTTTCCCAATCAGCAAGGTGAAGGAAAGAGGGGATATAGAGATGGGGCAAACCCGCCCACCAAAAAAGAAGAGGGTCATTGAACCATTTTTGAAATATGCAGGGGCAGCTAGGTGGCACAGCGGATAGAGCTCCGACCTTGGAGTCAGGAGGACCTGAGCTCAAATCTGGCCTCAGACACATTAATATTCACTAGCTGTGTGATTCTGGGCAAGTCACTTAACCCCAACTGCCTCATCAAAAAAAAAAAAAAGAATTATGCACACAGAAGAAATCACAGACAAAAACAGCTTTAAAAATTACATGTTGAATTATACACTTAAAAAGGAAAGTAAGTAGTAATTAATAGATTCATTGTTTCTTATTTTAAAAAATTAATAAAATTTTCAGGCAAGTTAAAAAATTAAATGTAGGTGGTGAACTGACAACTGAGAGAAATAGTACATAGAATCCTTTTTGCAGAGCAAAGAATCTATTGACTAATTTGAATACATTCTGCTTCTCACATGCTTAAAATGGGGGGGGGAGATAAGAAGAAACTTATGTATCAAAGCCATGCTTATGACATTAGCATTTGATTTACTGCATGGAATCATATTACAGATAAAACTGGTATAGTGGTGTCTTTCCAGAAATTCTGGTAACCAAATCCTTGTGATATGTCAAGATAAACTACTGTATCAAATCTCCAATTGATATTTATCTGTTATAGAATCCATAGCACATCCAAAATTTAGATCATTTTGGTCAAATAAAGCTAGACTGGACAGTCAATTATCAAGCATTTCTTAAGTGTCTACTATGTGCCAATTTCTGGGGATACAAAGACAAAAATGAAATATCCTGTGCCCTTGAGATGCTCAGAGGTGCTTAGGTATATGCAAAATGATAGGTTTGCATGAAGTACGTCTTATGTCTCTAGGCACACCCCAATGTTTTCCAAAAAATAATCTATTTTTGTATCTGATTTTTAAAATTTAGGCAACAAATGTTAATTTTTAAAATTAAGGTTTTGTTTATTTAATTGTAAGAATAAAAATGTCCTTTAGAATTATTTAACAAAATATTCACCTTAAAAATAAAATTCCATAAACGAATAATCTAATGAAATGTGTTGCATAAAATTGTGCAAATTAGATATCAAATAAATAAAAGATAATTTTAAGAGGGAGGCACTAACAAGTGGGAAAAGAATAATGTATTGAGAACTAAGCTTTCATCAAAATTTTCCCTTACCAGCTTATATTCCCCACGTATCAACAATAAATGATGTGCAGCATTTACTGTTTTCAAGATATTCCTGATAGGAAAAAAAAACAAAACTAGTGATGGGATGAATTATCAGTTTTTGACCAAGGCTTTAGTTAAATTGTTTAATAAGATATGTAAGAAATATGTACAAGTACAAATAAATATGTACAAGTACAATTTTACTTTGTACTATCCTTGAGGTGGAGGGGGAAACATTTCTTTAAAACTAAGTAAATCCGTACAAAATGTCTGCATACCAATGATGATATACCTTCACTATTAAAACAAACCTACTCTTCCATGATATCACTAGTCCCACTGATCTCTCTGTTGTTTCCTTTTCCAGGTAAAATACACTCTATGATACATTAAATTTAAGTGGAATGCTGTCTTTTTCACCAATTATATATATATATATACGTTATTTCCCCACCTAGAATTTAAGTTCCATGAAAGAAGAGTCCTTAATAAGAACATTAATGTTGTTTGCCCTTTATTCTTGAAGAGAACCAATGACATCAGGAAGGGTGATGCCTTGACTTGCAAGTGAATTGGATTTAAATGAGGCAGGGCTGTGCAAAGTCACCAGCTTCACTCTCTCCTCCAAAGCCATCTGGGTCTAGTAGCAAGAAATACATCAGGACAACTGGAGATGGCCAAAGGATAAAAATATTTTATTTTCATCTGTCACCACCTAGCACACAGAGCAAAAGAGATATATACTAAGTACTCAAATACTGACTAATAACAAGACATCTAATTAGAACATAATGTAGCCTGTGGTTTGATTTCTACTTCACAACTGTATGAATTTGAAAAAGTTGCATAATTACTGTTTCTTTAATCCTTATAACTGAGTTGACTGTTAAAATCCAGTTGTAGGTTTAGTGTTGGAAATAAAACAACCTTTGCTAAAGCCAAAATTTTCATTGACAACAGCATTTCTTTCTTGTAAGCTTCAATCTCAAATTCCTGTTTACTAGACTTCCTTAATTGGAGACCTCAAAGGTAGATAGGCGGCACAACAGATTAAAGTGGAATCAGGAAAATCTGAGTTGAAATCAGACCTTAGACATCTCCTAGCTGTGTGATCCTTGGCAAGTCACTTAACTACTTTCTGCTTCAGTTTTCTCATCTGTAAAATGGGGACAACCTGCCTCATGGGGTGCTATGAGGACAGAATATTGTAAAATATTCTAAAGTGCTTTGCAAACCCTAAAGCACTATATAAATGCTAGCTACTATTTTTATTCTTCTTATTACTATTAGAAACTCAGAAAGTCCTAAACAGAATTTATTAACTTTTCCCCTAAATCCACCCTTCCTCCTACTTCTCTGCATTCATCAAAGGCATTCCTAATTTTCAAGTCAACCAGTTTAGAAACCAGTCTTCTTACCTCTTTACTCTCTATCACTTCATCAAGGTGAAATTAATTGTCAAGTCATATCTATTCTGCTCCCATAATATCTCTTGCATCCATTTCCTTCTCTCCTCATACCACAACCACCCTATTTCAGGCCCTCATTACATTTTTACATGGAAAACTAAAATAACTGTTTAATTCACTTCTTCCTCTAGTTATTTCCCTCTCAAATTCATTGTCCAAACAACTGCCAAATCGATATTCTTATAACACAGGCTTAATCATGCCTCTAGGATAAAACATATTATTTCTAGAACAAAATACAAAATCATTTGTTTGGCATATAAAGCCTATCATAACTAGATTATACAAACTATCCTTCTGGTCAAATTTTATCCCTATCACACACCATCTAGTCAAATTTGCCTATTTTCCCTATTTGCAAATTTCCCTATGCACAATATTTCACCTTCTACATGCATCTAGTTGAGGCAACAGATAAAGCACTGGACCTGGATTCAAGAAGTCCTGAGTTGAAATCTATTTGCAGACACTTCTTACTTGTGTGAATGTCGGCAAGTCATTTAATCTCTGCCTCAGGTACCTCATCTATAAAATGTAGTTAATAAAAGCACCTAATTTCAAGGGATGTTATGGGAATAAAATGAGATATATCTAAAGCAAACCTTAAAAGCACTATATAAATGCTAACAGATGATGATGATGATGATGTCATCATTAAGTAGGTTTTCTCCCATGCCTAGAATGCTCTCCCTTCCTCACATCCACTTCTTGTAATTGCTAGCATCCATAAAAGTAATGATCAAGTGATACCTCTACTGTACCAGATGATAACTACTTTTCACTTTATGCACCTGAAATTATTTACGTACATTTTGTTTTTCACAACAGAACATAAGCTCATTCCTTTAAATCAGTAGCTGTTTCCCCTTTTTTCCTAACAATGCCTGGTATACAGTTAGCACTCAAGAAATGTATGTTGAATTGAATATATATAGAAGAGGCAGTATAATCAAGAGTTACTGTAACACGATCTTATTTCACTTCCAATCTCTCGGCTATAGGTTAGAGACATCAAAGAATGCATAAGGGAAAAAAAGGAGTTTATAGAGAAAGGATGTGTATGTGCATGCATGTAAGCATGCATGGTCAAGGAAATTAATTCATGAAGGAATGTAATGTATGAACTATCAGAACAACATGCTAAAAATCAACTCTGAAATTAAACACTGAAATATTAAATTTCAACTTACCTTGTTCAGCAGCATATGTTTGACTAGCTGAAATAACTTTTGTTAGCTCTGGATTATACCTTGTTCCCTCTGGAAAAATCACGAGATACGTCTGTGAAAGAAATATATATGTATATGTACATATATATTATTTTAAACAAAGAAAATATCAACCCATCCAGACTTAACAGAATTTTTTAATGAAAAAAAAAACAAACCAACAACCTTTCCTTCTACATATAATCTGAATTTCAAGTAGAGTAGTAAACATGCACAAATAGACCCAACAAAGACTGAAAAATAATATAAAATACATTACATTTCATGAATTCTTTGTCAGGGCATCAGAGGCTTAACAATATTTCCAATTTCATTATTGACTCAAAATTTAACTATTAAATATTGCCACACACTAATTTATCACTTTTAGACCAAATTTTTTTAAATGGTTAACATTTTTTAAAAAATCAGTGCCAATATTCATCATCACATAATCATACAACTTATATAAAATATTTGAATGCAATATAGAGTGATTATTCACTTTACAAAGAGAGTCAACATAGGACTCCACTAAATAAAAAGCTCTCCTAGAGCACTTAGAATGATTCAATTTACACCTAAGTTTTCAGGAACAAATCTAGTGGATATATGTAGGAGTATTTTCAAGTGGAGAAGCCAGACTTGAGAAATCATTACTAGATGTTAGTGGAATAGCCAATTATCCTAATCTTCAGTCTTTTCCTTTTAGACAGAGAATGAGAAAAATAAGGCTAGAAAGAGGAAGCTCAGATTTCTTTTTACCTTAATCTAATTTGAGACCTGGAAAAGCCACAAAAACTACACTGGCTTAGAGATGTGGCTTACAGACTAAAAATGAGTCAAAAACAAGAGAATCCATGCCAGTTCTTTTCAATTACTAGCATTCACAACACACATAAATCATAGGAACAAAGAAATGGAAGAGAGCTCATATGATAGACATATTTTGTTCCTTTTATCCTCTGGATATTTGAAAAAGGATACTAGACAGTTGCTCACTTGCCAGAGACATTTTTTTCTTATTGGATTCTCTTTAAAATCAAAATCCATTCTTTATTAAAGGTATAGGACTATGTGAGAAATTTAGAGTTTGAAATAGATAAGAATTGGACTATAGTCATAAAATGTATTATCAAAAAGAGGTAAGGATGAAAATAAATTGAAATAGGGCAAGGACCTAGAAAATACCATGGAATTCCTGTTTAAAGGAGATAGAGAGAATTGAAAAGGATATGAACTCCTATTTAGATAGGTCTCATTATCCCTGTCTTCCACAGAACCAAATTTCTATATTTCTTTAGATGACTTAGGCTCTCTACAACTGATTTTTCCATCCAAAAGACTTTGAACCCCAGTTCAACTAGGTGAATCAGGTTACAACCCATATAATACATCTTCCAGATACTACAAGAATCAAGCCACGAAATCTGGTGTAGTAAGTAGTCCAAAACATTTAAATATTACCAAACAGGAAATAAAAGGCAAGATCACTTAGTTGTGAGATAGGTGTGTAAGAAGGCAACCAGTTTGCATGGAATAAAGGAAGAGAGGCCATTGCTGGTTGTACTTCCTCCACCCTCCACTACTGGTAAAACATGTAGGAGATATCAGAGAAAGAAGCATGTATGGGTTCGCAAAAATCACAAAATATCAGAGCACCTAATCAAGCCCACCCAAACAAAAATCCTTTAAACTTTGATGGATAATTAATAACTGAGGAAACACAATCTGAGTCATATAATTTTTAGCAAAACAGGCAAAAAATGGGTCAGACTCCCCAGTAAGTCCAAAGACCCTGAATACAGAACTGAGACAGATGTTTTATGCATTAAAAACAATCAAATAAGACCAATTAGTTAAAAGAAAACAAATAAGCAGGATACAAAATTAGGCAATCATTTCTAACTGGAGGAAAGATTACGGACTTTCCAAGTTAGGACAGGGAGAGAGAACAGGTGTAATTCCCTGAAATCAGAAAAAGAGGAGTAGCACTTCCCTGTGTCTGTATTCAATCAAAGGAATATGGAAACAATAAGTGATTGATCAGAACAGGGCCAGTTTTGAGATAAGACATATGGGTTGCTTGAGATATGTAGCTGTGAGAAAACTCCTTGCATAAATCTTTGGATCTGACTATGTTTCTAGTCAGTATAACCTAGGTTCTTAATTAAGGGTCTCTAAGTGAGGTGGTCCAGCTTCCCAGCCACTCAGGGTTAAATTCAAACAATGCAATAAAGTATTCTCACAACTCCCACAACTGAATAAAGTTTTCTCACAAGATAAAAATTAGACTAGATCCATAATTGAATAGAAAGGGAACTGAAATAGCTCCAGAACTGAATCATAAAATGGAGTCAGTGTGGTTCACTCAATTCCCACACTACCCACATTAGTGGTCATCTAAACCTTTGTTTAAAAGTAAGCTATAACCAGGGGCAGCTAGATGGCACAGTGGATAGAGTACCAGCCCTGGATTCAGAAAGACCTGAGTTCAAACCTGGCCTCAGACACTTGACACTTACTAGCTGTGAGACCCTGGGCAAGTCACTTAACCAAACTGCCTCACCAAAAAGCAAAAAACAAAACAAAAAGCAAAAAACCTGAGGCTATAATCCTAACAACTGGCTTTTCATTATCCCCTACACCCAATCTCCCAATTCCAGTTACCTAGCCCTCCATGGTCAATTATGTCCAGATGGCCCCTGGCCACTCACTTCCTACCCTTAATCCTATTTAGACTTCTTTCTCCCTAGGCCACATGGAAGAGGTCTAGGTCCCAGGTCCCAGGTGTTCTGTCCACCCCAACTTACTGGCCACTCCCATCCAGATCTTCCTGAGACCCCTCCAGTCACTCCAAACTACTTGGCCACTCCTAGATCTCTCTCACAGTCTTTCTGTATATAAGGTCCATCTCGTTTCCATTAAAGTGCTCAGACTCATAAAATCTGGCACACTTGCGTTAGTGATACAAATGCTTAGATTCCTTAAGAGTCTGCCCAATATGACGATGTTCTAATAAACCTTGTCTGTGGCTGAAAAAAAAAAGAATATGTACTAGAATATTGCCAGAATTCAATTCTATTACCTCCAAAGAATTAAAAGTGAAGATCAGCCACTCAAAAGGCAATGAATGAAGATGCATATGGTAGGCATAAACAAATATAACCCAATATAAATAAAAAATTACACAGAACTGTTGTAAAGGAGAACATTTTTTAAAATCCATTACTGAGGGGCAGCAAGGTAGCGCAGTAGATAGAACACCAGCTGTGGGGTCAGGAGGAATTGATTTCAAATCTAGCCCCAGACACATAACACTTACCAGCTGTGTGACTCTGGGCAAGTCACTTAACCCTAATTGCCTCACCAAAAGAAAGAAGTACATTAATAAAAAGATCAGTTACATAACAAGGACAAGGGGGAAAAAATGGACAGTCTACTTTCTCTGAAATCTTTGCAAAGCATGAGAAAGACCTCTAACAATTTGTGCATGACCCCTAGGAGTTCCTTTGAGGTTATGGGAGGATATAGACAATGGCTATAAGTCAGGTAGGTATGGATGGGTTATAATCTTCACCATGGGCAGCTAGGTGGCACAGTGGATAGTATGCTGGACCTGAAATCAGAAAGACCTGAGTTCATATCCAACCTCACTACCTCTGTGACCCTGGGCAAGTCACTTAATGTCTATTTGCCTCAGTCTCCTCAACTGTAAAATGGGGATGATAATAATAGCACCTACCTCCTAGGGTTGTTATGAGGATCAAATGAGATAATTGTAAAGCACTAAGCACAATGTGTGGCAGATAGTTAGTAAGCACTATGTTAGCTATTACTGTTGCTGTTATCTTTTGAGAAAATACAAGCAGCAAAGAAGTTAGAGATGAATCTGCCTTTCATATTTAAAACACTAGCAAGATCATACAAATTTCTTCTTAGGGCACAGAGTTCTAACTTGAAAAATGTTAAATGAATTCTTATATCCAACCATTCAAAAAGTATTCTTTTAAGTAATATAGTTATTACATTTTTTATATTTTTAATTGCCTTTATTTCATAATATCGCTCCCCTACTAATCATCCCTTATAACAGAATAAAATAGAGAAAAAATACCGGCAAAACTAACCAACATCAACCTAGTTTAACAGTGTATGTAATATCTGAGACAGCATTCAGTTTCAATGATTTTGGGGGATTGTTCATTCCGTTTACATTGCTATAGTTATTTTGCATATTGTTTTGTTGGTTCTGATTACTTGATTCTACATTAGTTCTCATGTTTTCCATCACAATCTTGTACCATGATTTATTCAGTCATTAAACAATCCACAGACACCTACTTTGTTTCCAGGTCTTTGCTGCCATAAAAAATTATGCTATAAATATTTATGACTATATTCTATCTTTTAATTCCTTAAGAGATATGCCTAGCAAGAGATGATATCTCTGGGTCAAAGGATATGGATATTTTTCATCACTTTTTTAGCATCCCAACCTGTTTTCCAGGATGGTTGAGAAAATTCATGGAGTATATCACTTTTGGATAAATCTTAAATCTCATATTCCAATACTCCTGGCTCTATCGAGCTCTATTCTCATGATGAAAAAGAGAATTTCCCAGTGCTAAAGTTGGGATATTTGAGATGGTTTACAAGTAGCCCAATAAAGTTTGTAATCTTATTATAAGCAAATTTTATAGTTAATCCAAATGTTTTATGTTCTATTCTGATTATCAAAGTTAATGAGTGCAAATGCAGAATACATTCTAGTATCTGTATGTTTCCTTTATCGCCGAGAAGCAGGGATAATTTTTTAATATAAAACTATGCTCATAGACAAAAAGACAATGGTCAAATGATAAGAACAAATGGTTTTCAAATAAAATATAATCAATAACCACATAAAAACCATAAAAATCACTAGGAGAAAAAGAAAATTTTGCTGCTATATCATCTCACATACATAGGATAGCAAAAATACTAAAAATGGGAAAGTTATTTGTTAGAGAGGCTATAGGGAAACAAGAATGCTAATTTACAGCCAAAGGAGTTATGAATTTGTTCAAACTA